TCAATTTCAGCGCTCGTCGGCAGAAATTGAGACGAAATAGTTTATTACAAACAGATGGTATTGTGGTCGAAATGCGTCGAATGCAAACAATGAACACGGCGTCCTTTTTTGCGCGGCATAAATAAACCAAAACAATGCGTGTGTTGTGTGGAAACCAAAGAGAGGTCTTGTCAGAAACGAACAAGGCGGCGGTAACGCTTGAGGTAGAGGAAAAAGGGCGCGCGGAATAAATAAATCCTTGCAAAAACGAGCTGTGCGCCGAGGTAAACCGGAGCCTTTGGTGGCACACAGCACATTATTAACACCGATGCAAGGAGACATTTTGATTTAATTGCGTCGTCAATGATGTGGCTCGCAGGTATTGTGGAATGCGATCGTTTGCAGTGTGCTCGCAAAAAACCACCACCATCACCAGCAGGAGGAGAACATAATCGCGGTGACAGTTTTATGGCGATCGAAAAATGCGATTAGTGTTTGCAATTAACGCGGGCGGAACGAGGTAAGATGCTCAAAACTTTCAAAAACCAGTCGGGAGATAGAATATCTCTTGTTAGAACACTTCACAGGGCATAAAAGATCCGTATCGATTTCCACATGACCGAAAACATGCTTGGGTTCTCAACTAGAAGTAATACGAATTATTAAAGAAAAAAAAAACTAATGTTAATCGACTTGTAATGAATGCAAAAGTGTATGTCAATGATTCAATGGCTCGCCGAATGAAATTGAATCAAGCACTGCCCGTTTTTTTTTATTAATGCCCGGTCGCACAGAACCAGGAATCCATCAATCATGCGCTGGGGGTACGCGTGGTTTGTGTGCTTTTTTAATAATTGTTACCGCGGGACGCCACCACTCAATCATCGTGCCCGCTGCGATAAGACATTCTCGCTTCTTTGTTTTAGCCTCGTGTCCCTTCGCTTAATATGTTATTTTTATTGTTACGCGTCGCGTCTTTCGATTTCGTTGAAAATTTCGTGCAGGCTCCGCATCTCGGATACTCTCCGAGAGCAGCACGTCGAGTCTGGCGCCGGCCGACCGCCTGCCGGACACCAGACTACACGCATACCTATAACTACCCGCAGTGTTTTATTGTTTTACCGTTATAGATATCAAATCGTCGCCGTGCCCGGTAAAATATAACCGCGTGGATCCTTTATGGCTCGACCCTGCTAAATCACCAGGTTGACATCGCCATCCGAAGCGATCCGAAATTTTTCTCCTCTCCAAACACGACCACGATCCTTATCGCGGGGGACTCTTTTTTTTACTTCTTCGCAGGTGCTCATCTTGGGACCATGGGAATTGTCGCAACAAGATTCAAAGATCAAATATAAATGTGTGTGTGCGTGTGTTTATCTTATCTCAATTACCAGCGAGTTTATGTTGCTAATGCATACACACACGTAGGGTAGGTATAGCTATAACAACCAAGTGGTAGCCACGAGCTGAAAAATAAACAGCGACACGAACAACAACCTGTTGCCCCGCGCGCGCGCAGCTGAAGTGGTAATTACTGTTGCGGATGACGAGTGTCAAAAAGGGCATAGCCCACTGCCTGACAGCAGGGCCGGGTACGGGCCCGAATAACATGATAATGATAGCCTTAATTAGGCCCCGCGCGCGCGCGCTCCTTCCTCACCAACCCGTCGCCAACGTATCGAACTCGTTTCGCATTCATCTCACCACAAAGAGCAAACACATACACACTGCTTGTTAGCGCATACGCATACTATACACATTGTATAAATATCGGAGGAAATTTTATATTACTGGTTGATGTTGTGGTACTATAATTACGCGCATGCTGGATACATGCGCGCCTTCGTTTATGACATTTCCAACCGTGTGTGCTGAGGAATTAATAACATCATTTGCACAATTCGGTATTTTATCTTTCGACGAGCTATCAGAGGATGTTCTCCACCTCTCTCAGCGGCCGGTCTGCCGTAAAAAAGAAGTTGTTTGTGGGATTCCGTTTAAACTTCTTGATGTGTGCACAATGAACCCTAGCTGCGTGACACCATCTCCTGATGTTCGAGGTTGTGTGGTGGGTATACCACTTTCCAAATTGGACTATTAGCGCGTTAATAAACATATCTCATTGTTAAATAAAATCCACATTCTATTTTCGTGTTTGTTTTGCAACAAGGATGAATGACGATAATTGAATACAACAGGTAAGAGAAATCGAAACGGGAGCCACCTCATTATTCATATCCTCACAAAGTATTACCCAAAAAATACAAAGTTAGACTAGTGTGGTGCAAGTTTAGCCCCGGTTAATTGATATGATGTTAGTAGGCCACCCGTTGCGTAGAGGCTGACAGGTCCCATACCTGCACCATTATCCGCTTGTTAACTTGAGAACGAAAAACTCATCGGTGGGAGGACGAAAGCTGATTATTGTGGGCCTAGTGCCAAAACAGTTCCCGAGCACGCATTCATCATTTACCTAATCGCGCGTGCGTATTGTTAGACTTGCGTGCTCCTTGATAGACACACACAGACACACAGGGAAAGTATGTTCGCGTGTTTGAATATTAAAACGCCCCAAATTTCCGCATCGAACAATTCGGAATTGATCAACCGCAAAACGCGTTGATCGTATGCTATGCGCCCAAAGAGTCATTGTTATTATAATTACCGCCCACATGCGGATGGGCCAGCAAGCCATAATTCTCGAAATGCTAAACGGCGCCTAATAACTGTTATCCGCTCGGTGGAGAAAAAGGTTTGTTTGCTCAACCACCTGGTAAGAGTTATGACTGTGCTGATGTCATGGTCCTGCCCCATGGGCAGATCCCGAACGTTTACGATGTCAGCGCGCAACGTGCGTAAAACCTATTGAGTACCCCAATCATTCGCAAAACTCGTAATTCATGGTAACGCACCATGTCGCGCCTATTTTCTAATCGGAATCAATTTTGATCCACAAACAAGCGCGTGGTAATTGTAATTGCACTCAACTACAGATAAGTAGGTTTATGTAATGGTAGATGGTATATGCGATGGCAATTTTCAATTAGCCTTCGCAACGACCATCATTATTGTTCGAGTGGAGAGAGAGAACGGGGCAGAGCACACACGCAGCCCGAGGCGTTGCTCCGCTAAACGATTATCGGCATAATTTATAACATAATTATAGAGCAATTGTGACAGGGTGTGATGAAATGCGTGGGACTTCGGTAGTAGACCACCGAGAAGGTACATCGCTAATGCCTGTGATTACTGTACGCGCGTCTGATGGATCATTCCGGCCACGGGTTTATTGCATCTAGGCGCAAATTCGACGATTACAGGCATTTCTTTCAGCGCTCCAAAGTAAATAATCCACCGGAATGTTAATAGTCACTCATCGCATACAAATCACAAAAGATATTACCATCAAGATTAATGTTTCATTTCTTACATAAATAATATTAAAATTTTTGCAAAATCTTCATTTTTTCGTGTAAAATTACAAACACATTTAATTTTAAACGCCAGCTGTTGAGAGGAAAAGTAGTTTGCACCTTATTTTAAAAATATCAATGTTTTCTCGGGTTTGTTAGCAAATAAGCGTAAGTATTCGATGTCAAAGTCACTCGACATTACTTTACGAGTCGCTGAGAAGAAGGTTTCTGCACGGGCAGCCGATTTGCATGCGCTGCACCAAAATAAATACACACCGTTAAACTGCTTAAGCACATATACACGTACACCAGCCGCCGACGACGCCGTGCATTCGCATTCTGTCTGGTGGCTCGTTTAAATTTGATTTTATTATACAGTCAAGCCGGCGGCTATCAAGCGCAAATTTAAATGCGCGCTTTTCCGTCTTTAATACACACAAAACGCCATCATCGCCCGGAATGTTTACCCTCGGAGAAAAAATATAACCGTTTAAGTCTTTTATCAATCAATTTTACATCTCCGTTGATAGATATTTGCATAGCACGTCCAGGCGCGCAAAATTGAAAAAGCACAACTGCTGGTGTGTGCAATCTGCGCCCTAGTCACGCGATGTGCAAAGCTGAAAATTAAAACAAAGCAAAACTTGTTCGGTACTTTATAACCGATAAAGTTTATTCTATACCGCCTCGGCTTGTGTAGGGTATATATGAAACAAATAGCTCAAAATTTATTACTATATTCCCATCATGAGCGCTAAGCGAGCGTGAGTCTGGCGCTTGGCGCGCTCAAGAAGTAAGAAACAGCAACAATTGATTGTCAGTTCGTATCGAGTTGCTCGCGCGCGCGCAGCCACGAATGGATAATCAAACTCTGGCTGTGCATTCTTTCTTCGCCATACGCACCGAGCGCGCATAAACGGCGAAGGTGCCCCCCGGACAGGTGCCTCTTCGGACGACCAATTATCGGACGACCTGCTGGGCCGACTCCGGCGCGGCGTGGAATGTGCGCGACCACCACCAACTCTTCTGCATCTCTTCCAGCATCAGCATCGCACACCATACACACGCATGCTAGACATTACTTTCCACAAAACTGATTTATAAATGTATAAATGCACATATTTGCGCACCGAGGTATAATTTCCCAATCGATTTTTGCGTGCATCCATCGACTTATTGTATTGCGCGCCGCAATAATTTACAGCTATTAAAAGCTCGTGGACGTTGTTAATTATTTTAAATGCACGCACGCACCTTTTACGCCGGCTGAGTGAGGTTGCGACCGGCCCGAGAACTTCGGAGTTGTTTTAAAAGGCAATAAGTTAAAATATGTTTACATAAGATTGTCAGTGGATCCGCCTATGCTATGATTTATGGTCGGGCTGATGAATATGCAATGCGCGCAACGGATTTCAATAAACCTGACATGATAAATGGATGATCTACCGTAAAATAAAACCAACTACACGCACTCGGACGTGACGTGAACCCGGGCACCTAATCCTTTTCGGAAGTTTCGAATTTTACGTACTCACACACACGAAAACAATGTGAGTACCAAACCGCAATTATGAACGTTAAAAACTGATTAATCACACAACTCACCTCAGTGTCGTACTTCTGAAACTCTTCGTCGTCTTCGTCCACTTCGAAGTAGAGCTCAGTAGACGTGATCGAGACGATGCCAGGTGCGACGATGCCGGGCGCGATTAATTTCGCCTTGGTGCTAATGTTGACAGGTCCTGCGAACGTATAATTTCTCGAATTAGTTTGCTGTCACGCGTTTGCCAGGCGGCGGATGGCACCTACCTGTTAAATCGTTATCCATTTCGCGGTCGTCCATTAGCAATTCGTTGTCGTCCATCAAGTCATTTTGCATTTGTTGCTGTTGTTGATTACGCGTCGCGGCCAATTGTGCATGAATTTCTTCGCGTGCCTATTGTAAACAAACAAGCAAAGACTTGAATGTTGATATTTGAAACATAGATTGAAAGTGGATAAATAAGTTCGAAATAAATACGAAGTTTGCATCACAGCGCCATCTATGGGCAAATCTTTGAACTACGGGTGGAACGCACTATATACAAACCTGTAATATTGCATCTTCTGGCCCGCCATGCTCCAAAGCCGCTTTCAATGTGGCTTCCGGATGACTGGATCCCAAAGGATTATGCACAAAGCGTTTCCTTCTGCGTGCGTCATCCTCCCAGGCATCCAATTTCCAAAACTCTGTTAACCTAATACAGCAAATCAATAGTTGTAGTCAAAGTTGGAAATCTGTTTCTCTCGAAAACTTACTTTGCTCCTTGCGGATCCATATATCCCCAAGCGCCATGTTTATTGGACATGATATTTCTAACTTTTTCCAGTAGGCGACTCGCAATCACATTATCCCGCCGCCTCGCCGCTGTAATAAGATGGTCGCACATTCTCTCCTCCTCTTTCCGATCGAGCAGAGTTTGAGCGCATTGCGATTCAAAATCTGCGTGCTTGAGCACATCGTCGGCCCTCATGCGATTCAAAATAAATTCGGCCTCGTTGGCAACGCGCACAATGTGATCCTTCATGGCATGGGATAAAAGACGACCCTCATTGATGAGTTCAATAAACGCAAGACCGGCGTGCTTCTGAAGCGAGTTTTGCCATTCCTGTGAGCACAATAGCATTACAAGCTCAACGACCGAATTGCTATTTTTGAAAGTGGTCAGGCCTTTGCCTTCCATTAATAATTCCTGTCCATGCGAGCCTACTAAGGTTTTCGACAAGAAAGGAGCAAAATCGACCATAATTTCCCGCAAAAGAGGACAAACTGAACCGAGTGCCATTTCTAGTTTTTGCGTCAGCGATGCTTCACGCGAGGGAGTGGGTATTGGAATGTGTTCGACTAGGTTGTTCACGGGTAGATCATCAGGTCGGACTTGAGTCGTAGTCTGAATAATGTTCTCCGGAACGCGTACAACGGAAATCTCGGAATGTTGCTTCTCCCCGCGCTCATTTTGAATATTGCCTTCGATATCAATATGACCGCCATGCGTTAAATTCTGCATGTTACGCGTGTCCTCTTTATGATGCACTTCGCCATCTTCGTTCAGATTAATATCCGTCCAATTTTCATCGTTGGTAAGTTTATTGTCCTCAATGGTTTCGTTGCCTTCTTGGTTACTGCGTGTTTCTGCCGAGTTAACCGAGGTGATTTCCTCTATCGAATCAACACTCTGAAAACAATTCATTTGTTTATACCACAAATCTGATACAACTACGTTATAAAAATGTTAGTAACATGCCATGCCATTTTAAAAATGTCCCCTCTTGATAAAAACCACTGTTCTAGAACCAAACAATATCAATTACCTTATTACGAGTGGTAAGATCAGTACGATTACGACTGTTACGAGCATGCCTCATCCCATCCATAGAGTAATCTACTGAGAATCCGTGCCCAAGACTCGGACGCTGTCTTGCGCTAACCTGTCAGGCGCACAACCAGCCAAAAGGAAAGCAATACGTTAATTAGAAGTGATTAATTACGGTTAAGATAAGATTGTACCCCGAAAGCATTCATTTTACATCTGATTGTAGCATGCAGTTGTACAATATTTACAAAATACAGAATATCACCCCATTAGCCCATTCAAGATTCAAGTTAGTGTAAAAACCAGTTACTGATTACGACGTTTACAATGAGAATCGTGCCAATCGACCTACCTTGATTGACGGTGGTCCCGAGTGCAAATCTTGGTCCTGCACCGAGTGATTATCGTCCATTACATATGCGGTAATCACTTCATAGTCGCCATCTTCGTGTGTCTGACTATGAATTGCCCTAGAGCCTGCAAACACACTCATATTAATTGGGCACTTCTTAAAATATAAGTAAAAATAATCTAGCTACAACAGAAAGTAAACTAAACAAACAAAACGTAAAATAATTACAATATATCCACATTTTATGGGCAAATTAAGATATTAAACATAACACAAAACGCTAAATAACCAGTGATTTTATGCGTGCGTATCAAATTACCTGCATGACTGGCAATCGAGTTTCTATGGTACCTGTGGTCAATCTTATGGTTGTGATGGTGGGAATGGTGGTTATTATTGATATTATAGTGATGTTTGACATAGGAGTGTCTATGACGCGGATAATTATGATAGGGCGGTTGCGCCGCATTAGGATGTGAGCCTGGTAAGAATTGCGGATAGACGTGATGTGACCACTGCGGGAATAGGGGTCTCGCACTTCCCTCTGCGCCACACGAGACAAGAAAAACAATGTTAGTAACACATCCCTTCACCACATTGCTAACAAGTTACAAGATGAATACACATAGTAAATGTATAAATCCGTTGTGTGAGTAAGCGTGTAAAGTGATCGCCACCTAAACTCCTACAGTCATACAATTAACTAAGTTTTACCTTGGGGACTATCCGCATGATGGGGACCATTACTTCTGATGGCTGGGACAGGACTAGGCGCTCGTATCGTCACGGGTGGTTCAAGTATATCTCGGTATTTGGACACCATCAACACTGAGATGAAATAGACGATCGCCAGTGACAGAAACTGCGCTTGTTTCGTCTCCTCCTGTAAGACAGGTAATTAGAGTGGGATTAAATCACATGGTGCTAGTGTTATGCCTGTGCGAACGTTCTCACCACATCTCTGTAGATGACCGCCCGAAGACGATTGACGTCCATGTCCTGCAGCAACTTTTCGGGGTCCTTCACAGGACTGGAGACATTCGACAAGTTTTCCGCGATATTCTATACAAGCGAGGATTGTATTACAATCAACTTGTTATACTGGTAGGAGTAGATATGATGTGTAGGCTGATAGTAAAAACTTACCTTTGGTGAGCTGTGAACGCCTCGGATGAAAGATTGTAAATGTGCGGACTTGTGATTAGCATTATGTGGCTGTGCAAGAGTGTGATGCGGCCGGCTTCGTTCTTTACACTCCAGACAATTACGGACTGCACAAGTGCACACCTAACGCACACGCGTGATACGAAATCAATTTTATCATTCTATGTACAATACATTGGGTGACTTTGTGATAGCGATAAAAGAAACACTTACCAATCGTAAACATTGCCGTAATATACCACCGCAGGACATATTCTTTTCGGCTTCCAGTTCGCCAAAGTTTAACGAACTGGCGAAAATTAACACGTCCGCCATATTGACGAGTCGTTGCAAGAACGACACTGCCACTTCAATGGGCATACCTTGAGTCGGCTCGATTACATCCAATTCACTCTAAAATATAAAACAATCATGTTATTAAAAGTCATCGGTGCAGGAATCGATTCAATTACATTTGGAGATGTTGCAGAGGCGAGGAGTGGCAACAGCCCGCCGCAAGCGATAATCAGATTATCCGCCAGCTGCGATATTAAATGGACCGTGTTCACCACGAAGATCGCATTATCGCTGCTGTTAACGAAATCGAGCACCGATTTGGTCGAGTGTGATCGCCACACTTGAATATCGGTTTCGAGCGAGAACAACACATCGGATAACAGCCGCTGGTGAATATAAGACCATTTGAATTCCGGAATGCGGAACGGCGGACGCGTAGGGCCCGGACTAAACATCGGACGAGTGGATGCCGAACCGGATTTGCGTTTGGCGTCAAAATGATTCGGTTCCACCTGTGTGGATGTAGACGCACTGCGTGGTCGTTTCTGTGGCGATGCATGCGCTACACTCTCGCCATTGACTTCCGGCGGTAGATCCGACGGGTTTGGCGGTAGACTGTTGCGTCGTTTTATCTCTTCGGCAGATATTAGAGGGCTGTCGGCCACAGAGGGCTCGCTGCTGCCCGTCTCAGTACTTGTCGGATAATGACTAGGATCACATATTTGCGATATCGTCGAGATCTTCTCGACCTCCGACACTTCTTCGTCGGCGTTTGATTGAATTTTCGTCTCTTCGCTATGACTAGATTCAACATTGGACGGCTCTAAATCTACAGACACAGCACTATTATCAACAATTGGCACATCGTTAAGTATTTGCGCTTGCTCGGGCGCTGGTTCCTTTTCACTCTCGGCTGCTTCATTACTCTCAACGGCAACTGTTTCTGCCTCATCCTTTTCAACTATTTCACCTGGAATATCTTTCGATGGCTCGTCCTCCTCCTTCCGTTCGGTTTCGCTCAAGTCCGTCGGTGTTTGATACCTTTCCGATAGATCGCTATCCTTCTCCGGACTGGTTGGAATTATCTCCGCCATTTTAGAATCGATAACGGAAATGCTCACGTCTTTCTTCGGACTGTTCTCGGGCGAAGAGGGCAAACACGGTTTCTCATCGCACTCTGCTTCGTTCACATTATTCACAACCTCGTTTACGGCTTGGACGATTTCTTCATCCTGCACTACGGGGGACAGTGTACCGTCATCTTGAGCAACAATCTCCAACATTTTCTCGCTCTTCAGTAGAATTTCCTCGACAATCTCTTCAATAATTTTGGCTTTAGGATCGTCTTCATCCTCTTCGTCTTCGGGATGTTTTTCAGACGTCACTGATGTACAGCTTTCAGAGTGGACACCATTGCAGATAGGGGACGATTTCGTTGATGATTCCGGAGACAATGGTGACTCTTTGCCTAATTTAACGTCACTGTACAAATCACTAGTCCTCGAATCTAAGGAAACACCCTCACTATCGTCGCGCTTTGTCATAAAGGACGACGGACTACCCTGGGAGATTGGCGTATTTAATTCGCAATTGCACATCGGTTCAGTTTTCTCCGATGCCTGGTCAATCTCTTGAAGTGCGGCGCTTGAGTTGCTCCACTTGCCCTCGTCATGGTACCCATTGGCAACCGTTTCGTTTTGTTGCTCCCAGCCGGATATCGTGCTGATGGGTCGCTGCTGTCTTACGAGCGGGTCGGTGATGTTATCGGCGCGTTGGCGCTCGTAGTGCTCGTACATTTGCGCAAACTGCAGTTTAAACTCTTCGTACGAGACCTGCAAACAAACCAAACACTCATCAAGTTTCAAGTCTTCGCTAAACTGCCAGTACACACCTTTGAGTGGACAATGGCGAGCGTGTCCACCCATACTCTCCATCCGCCGTATTCGTATTTAATGGCGTGATGCAATAACATGCGGAAGAGCGAGTAGACCATGTCGGATAGTTTCTGCTCCTCGCTGTTCTTCGGATGGATGTACGCCATCGCAATCAGCCACTCCTGCCAAACGGACATTTGCAGCACAGTGCGACGGTTTTCGCGATTATTGTTGCATAACAGTGTCATGTCACTCAAAAATAACTTCTTCACTTCGAGTAGTTGTTCATTTTGTTTCGACTGTCTTATAAGCGTCGCAACAACTTTAAGAATCACTAGAAACAAACAAATACAGAATCAGAATGGCACGAAAACAATGGAATTAAAATGTGATTATACTTGGATTCTCGAGACGAAAATTCGATTCCGGTTCCGGATGTCTAGTGTACAAAATCTGCTGACTAATATGTTCCGTCATTATTTCATAGAGCACGTTGTACGTGGGCAAAGAGAGGCATTCCTCGTTGAGCAGCAGGCGCTCCGCTAATAGGGTGTACAAGTTGTGAGGGCTCATTACGTCGTATTTCCGCTTGTGCGTGCTCCGACTGAGGAAGAAACCGAGCAATTTCAGTGCCTGCAGCCTAATTAATTGACTCTCGGATGCCAACAGTTTAAATATAGTTCGGACGCCGTGCTTGCAATCAAACGCCGGTACCATCGACGAAGGATGCTCCGACATCAGAGAGATCAACATTTGTAAGACATCGTGGAGATTTTCATCCTGCAAATATAAAAAAATATAAAAATACACGTACAAAAGCAATTTTCCTTATTACTCTACATACTTCGTGTATTGTAGTCAAATAATTCAGTATGCTCTGAAGCTCATCATCCTTGACTCCGTTGCCGATCATGATTAGCTGCTTCAGGAAGAGCAAGATGTACGCGCGTATAGCGAGGATGTCCTTTTGAGCCGGCCGGGGACCATCTGGCGGGCGCGGCGAGAAGAAAGGCCAGTTAATCTAAGCGGGCGCATCTAAATCGCAACTTACCTAATCCCTTGGGAGTGATGCCGCTCTTGGACCTGGGATTAGCCACCCAGTAGTAATACTTGAGCGTGTGGACCGTCTGCAGCACGGTGGAGACGCGCCGGACGTTCGAATAGATTTGCGTGTCCGATAGGAACTCGGTGGCCAGATACGAGTAGAGCTTCGATTGCACCGGCGCGGGCGTGTAGATCCACAGCGCCGGATTGAAGAGCACATGGTCCAGGAGCTGCCACGTCAGGAACGAGAAGCAAAATAACTAAATCAAAATGGATTAACCTGCCCCGTACTTACCAGATACACAGTTATATAGATTTTTGCGATTGGGTGTTCGTATTTTTTTCAGTACTCGAGTACGAAATGCGGAATCAAAGCAAGTTTACGCTAACTATCTAGATGCATTCAGGCATGCGTTCAGTGTGGATTGCAGGAGAGCGCAGGAGAGAAACAAGTCTAAACTATTCAACGGTTTCCAGAAAACAAAACGCAGAATGGCAATAAATCGATACAGAATTCTAAACAAAGAATTACAATCAAACAGATTTTTTCAAGAGCTTAATCCTGCATAATAAACAAAACAATTGAATTCGAAAAATAAAATCCATCGGTCAAAATTTCGCTTGATCCGTACAAACAATTTTCATAAAATGACCACCGCAAAATCGAAAACAAATAATGAGAATAAATAATCAAATTTATGGATATAAAAACATAATAAAATGGATTGGACCGGATTGTTTATTCGAATGTTAATCAAATTTTTGACAAAACTACAAGTCACTTCAAAAGCGTCCCATTGGCAAACACCCGCATCCAATTAAATCAATTAAATTGAAACAAAAAGGAAATATTCATGTGAAACCCAGTCGGCAAACTAGATCTATAATTGAAAATGTTAATTACATTTGCATCGTCGATGGAAACTCATTACTAATTAGCTACGAGCGTTCGAACGCGTCATTCAAACCAATGACGTTTTTACCAAACGAGCTGTGAATTAAAATTGCACGTGGCAGTTTCCAAATCAGCGAACTGAAGTACTCCAACTATACACGTAATTATCTAAAATAATATTGTGTGACCGCTGTGGTAAAAGTTTCAGTTGCGCGTAGCACTAGCGATAATATATAAGTAATTATTTGCGTAAATTGCATAAAAACAACATGCAAAATTGGTAATTTTCATTTCAGTTCATAATAAAGCAAATAGAGTAAATAGAACACAAATGTTGATATTAATTATGCTGCAATAATAGCAAATTATAAGCGCAGTTAATTTAAAATTGAAACATTTTAAATTATTCAAAACAATACAAAAGTTTATTCAAAAAATTGGACTTTACATCCCCGGAAAAAAAATTCCACGATATCAGAGCGTTAAAGTTTTCCAGAAATTAATTAATGCGCGTTCTGATGGCGTTAAGCTGTCAGCACACGGCGACAACTAATAATCCGCCGTTATTAGAACAATTTAATTTATATGCAAATTTCCCGTCACCAGATCGTCGCCACACGCTAATTTATAAGCCACAGCGGTGGAAACCATCGTCACTGTTTTTGTAACTCGTTAACGCTCAGAAAAGAAACGAAAACAACAAAACTATCAAAGAGATTAACAAACAATAAACTATCAGAGCCAAAAAAGATGATAATGTATATCAAAATGCAATATCTAATTCGCTATCAAAGAACTGTGCATGCCTTAGGAAACTATACCACCTATTCAATCAACTCTGTAAGAAACACGATTAGAAAACAAACAACATCGGAAAGACTCTCTCCCTAAACGAGTTTACGTTTTTGGCATATTAAATCGAACGCATCGATCGAGTTTACATTACGCTTCAGTCGGATATGGTGCTATTAAATGGACAATGATAATGACAGGGTGGTGGTGGTGGTGGTTGAAGGCGCATCGAGCTTGCCGTATTCCGATATTTACAAGTGGTTGGTCGAATAGAGGAGAAGTTGGACAGACACGCACTTACCTGTTTCAAAAGCAACTCGCTGTTGGCGCTCAAACAGGTGACGAGGTGTTTGGTGAGGCTGAGAAACGAGCCGAGCACATCGATGGTCAAGTGCTCCCTGGACGAGCGCTGCAGCATGAAGCTGATGACGAGGAAGCCACGATTCTGAATCATGTGCTGCTGCACCGTCTGCGAGGTTTCGACCAGTTCGCAGATAAATCCGAGCAACTTGGAACTAATACGAGGAGTTTTGTTAGTTAGCTAAAACTAGCCAAACTTAGCAGTAAGGCAAAGTTTGCTGGGGTATTACCATAAGGTCGAGTCGCGCTTTGAATCCGTCGTAGTGGCACACTCGTAAGGTGAATCCAGTTGGGAAAACAACGGGAAGAGAACCTGAATGCCGCCGATCGAGTTCAGCGTGCTGTGGATGGAATGCGTTATCACTGCTTTCACGTCCTAAAAGACAACAACCACAAAACACATCTGTAATTTCAAGTCAAAACAATTCTTTGCCTGCTATAAAGTACATTGACTTTAAAGTTGGATAGTTGAGTGAATTATGCTTCGAATAAATTTATTACGGCGAGTTGGAAAGCGTCGGGTGCCATTTTCTTGTAATGCGACGTAATTTATTACGCACTATTCGGCGACGAGCGCAAAAAACGCCCGACGCACCTTGCCGGAATGATTACTCTTTTATGATACCTATAAGGGCATAAATTCAGACGTGCGGCGAACGTCCGAAATGATAGCGAGATATTAGCACGCATAAATCACGCCGCGCCACCGAGATACGCATCACAACTCACCCTCAAGTCAAATAAAAGCATATAAATTGAAATTTCGACGTTAAGTACCTCAAGATTTCAAATCAAATAATTTCATCCTCTATACTTACTTGTAGCATCAATGCGTGCGGTGTGTGAACAAAATAAGAAATGTTGCCCTTCGGTGCCGACTGCAGACACAACTGACTATCGGTCGCCACCGGATTGTACATGAACACAATCGCACTGGACAATTTCCCGTCGTAGAGAACCTGCCATTGAATAATGAATATTTAGCTGATTGCGAACAGGTTCACGGGAGCGGAAAACATGGATGACACACACATACACAATACAAGGGGGATGACTACTACGGCAATAATTGTACTCGTACATAAAGGGGTAAAAACACAACAAAGCATAACAAAACAGTAACTATGTATGCACTGCCGCAATTTAAAACTTGTTCCGCACGTGTCAATGCAAATGCGAGGAGCTAAATACATTCGGAATAAGTACTTTAACGAGAGAGAATACAGCAGCAGTGCGCTAATTAAATTATAAAAATACACAGCAACACTTCACACTGTCCGAGCTGGCAGGAGGGGATTATACTCGCAAACGGGGATGAAGGGATTGAATGCGTGGTAGAAAAATAATTAAAACAAGTTTTACAGTTAAAACATTCACAGGAATTAAAACGCGGTGTTACGTGACACGAGAATAGTTTTTAATTAATTACACGAAAACCAATCAGGTAACAAAATTATTGAATTTTTGAAAATTTATAAATATAAAATAATGGAATCGATTTCCGTGTAAACAATTAAAAGCGTAATTCTGCGTAACTATATCACGATATTTTCTAGTAAACAACATAAAACAATTGAATTTTAATCATCCCTTGATAATATTAATAATACCTGCGTACTGTAATTCCACGGACACATAGAATGACACAATTACTAAATGTGTACCTATGAAACAAAACGGGTGCACACAGTACGCGCGCCGCATCAGCGGCGATCGTTATGCCGAATATAATATGTATGCATATTTGTTTGGCAATCGCAATTAAATTATTCGATAATGAACACATCGCGTCTATTTACCCGAGCGTCGTAACGACGCGCAGTTACATTCCCCAACGCGTCGCTTCGATTACGACGCCGCACATTACACATTAATGCATATTGCATTTCCGCCTTTCGGCGTGCGTGATCAAATTAAAGCGCGCGTAATGAAATTTCACGGGAAAATATATATATGGCGAATATCCGTCGTGGTATAGAGAGACATCGTCAAACGCAAAACGAATTAACCAAAAATAAAAGCATGCTTACGGAACGTGCATCGGATGCATTCGGAATCTGAATCTGGCTGGAGGCCGGGTCGGCGTCGGCGACGGCTGGAGGCAGCGCGCCTTCGTCGCCGCCGCTCGCGTCACTCACCCGTTTATGATTGTCGGGTAAACTTAAGTGGCACTCGTTGTCGAAGCGAAATTGACTCTGTAATAAAGTAATAAGCAATCTTCGATATTATCCGAGCTACACCAGAGCTAAGGAAAGTATTAAATTACCTTGTAACCCGGTCCGAGGCGATGCATCGCGCAAATCTGATGCGTCGAGATGGCTTCACTAAAAAGATAAATGGCGGACATCTGACCGCAGAAAACGCGTTCCTCGTCCAATTCTGGTGTCGCTCCAATGTAACATTTATCGAATGGCTAGAAACGTCGAAAAAATCAAATAAACATACAAATTCTACGCGCAGACTCAGAAAAATTGCATATGCAGAGTATTTCTTTTCCGCAAAAAGAAGATACATCACATCAAAAGGTAAAATCTATTTGAATGCTATTTTCCACGCGCATAAAAGGTATCTGCCCCGCGGCATTGACTTTTCCATTCTACGATTCGTCGAACTCTGCGTACGGTATCACATTCTTGTCGTCGGCGATATTCTTATGGGAAATAAATAAAACGCATTCGTTTGAAGCATCGAACGATTGAATCGTTACTAGCGCAAAACTACTCGCAGAAAATTTCCGATTCAAAGTAAATCTTCGCCTTCGTTTGTGCAGTGCACAAGATAAATGATGAAAGTCAGTGTTGTGTGCGCGCTCACCTCGTTCGTGTTGACGAACCACGCCATCTCCGTGCTCGACGCCAGCTGCCCGTTGACGAGACACTTAATTTCGCTCTTCGTCCATCGGTTGTAGATGTACACCACCGCTAGCATGTACCACTGCAGAAAAGAGGCAAAACAAATCGTAAATTACATCTTCGATCAAATGAAAACCCCGCGAAGAGGAAGAAAGAACCAAAAAACATGTTTTCGGCACGGCATTTATTTATACCTTGCGCGGCTGAAACTCGTACTTGACGCAGTGCTGGAAACCCTTGCCTTTAATCTTCATCGACGTCAATACCAAGCAATTACCGACAAAGTGAGCGGTGTAGCCGACCCCCTTGCTCGTTTTGAAGCTGGAAATAAATAAAACCGTGAATTTTTTTTCCGCTTGCACCAAATATATATCAATTGGTACGTACCAATACAAATACGGTTTTTCGCGTTCAATGTTCACCGAATTGATGGGATCCAGGCGAAACCACGTGGTAAACGTAAAGCCATTCTCATACGGCCATCTTGCCAACGGTGGCAAAACGATAGCCTGCAAAAATCATCATCATAATATAGAGCTGGTAATGGAGGTATATATAATAATTTTTATTAGTTTAGAAAATATTTCCAACGCACCGATCCCTTGCGGCCCGGAAAGCTGAAGAAGACGTCCGGGCCCGATCGTTGCGGCATCTGGCGCAGGACGTTAAGCAGCTTTGCTGAATGTCGCGGCTGCCGAGAAAAACATTTTTAATGAAAAGTGCTGTGCTGCTGCACAGAAGCAGACAAACTCACCCATTTTCCGTTGACCGCTTTCATTGCGCCAAAGAGCAGTTTTAATTCTTTTACAGTTATACTATAGCTGGCAAGAACTCCCAGCATCTCTATTAATAAATCTACAAGAAGAACAAAAAATAACACATCAAAGATAATTAAAATTAAAATTACAATATTCTCTTAATGTAACAGTAAATCCAGGATGACAAACAACAAACGTGTAATTATTGAAATGAAAATTCCACTCTCCACTCGCGGCTTACAATTTTAATGTCAACATATAAAGACTCTGCTACACGTTGTATGATAACGCAATGTTTTTCTAATTTCTTTTTATTACCCTCCGATGGGGATTTTACCGCCCCCGGCTCTGGACCTGTACGCCTACAATGCCATTTACCTTTTTCTTCATCCACCCTCGTTTTTCTCCCCCGAGAAATCCCCATTATTGTTATTATTATGGCGATTAAACAAAGGAATAAAAACGAGAAGCGACACGCCGGAAAGAAAGAAACGCAGATATAGAGAAGGATAAGCAACAGTACCTGCGACGACGAGGTCGGCATTGCGAAGCCGTTTCAGGACGTGCTCGATGAGGCCGACGTCGGTGCACGCCTGCAGATTGCGAACGCTCTTCCTTAGGATGGCAATGAAGACGCTCCATATTTCGGCCTGCAAATATACAAGAACAGACGACAAATCAATAAAGCAAACTGGAACTCAGAAAAAATAAAGAATAACTAAAACTGGAGCGTACGGATGGGGATAAAGCTGCGTGCTGATGCGTGTCGTTGCGCACCGAGCAAAATTACAGCCCGTCTGGCGAGCGGAAAACGTCTGTTGTTTTGCATCCGCGCTTGTTAGGTGTCACGACGATGATGATCTGGAAGTGATGGTCGCGCGTTTGCGCTCGCAAATGGTCCGGCATTTATCATCGTGTAAATGCCCAGCCTTTTCAAGTGACACGTGTCCAAAGCACGCGCACGTCGTGTTATTAAAAGGTGTATGCCTGCGATAGCCACCGCCGCCGCCCTCATCCTCAACCATTATTATTAATATAATATTATTTCTGTGCCGCAATGTAATATTTTTTCTTCAAACCGCAAAAAATAAATAAAATTCATTATTTTATCTTGTATTCCCAGCATTTTTCAACGCATACACTTTAAAATACAAACCGGAGAGAATAATTTAATAATTTTCATAATTGCGTCAAGTTAGTCGTAAATTCGCTGTCAGGAGACGCAGCGCAAAGTTAATAACAAGCGCACCCGGACGGGACGCGGAAAAACGGCGGAATGCCGGAATATTAAATGCGGCGCACTTTTCACTCTTGATTAGCATACATTTATACGTTCATGTGCCACACAATAAATTACAAATTTTAGAACCGAGTTAAACTACAAACAAATCTTAGCAAATAGGAAAAATAAATGGTGGAGGCGCCGGGCGATCCAATTACATTCGCATTGCGTGATGAAATTTTACAACACACATACTGCATATGAACGCACACTTGAGAGAGCGGGTGGAGTAAATGCCAATTTGCCGGTGGCTATTTGCGCAGTGTTAATGGAATCCGTGTGCAGAAGCAGACACCTCTGTTGATTCGCGCAATAAACAATACGAGATCAATGTTTGCATCGCCCGGCGGTCAGCGCGCACAACAATCCACTTCTTACAGCCCATAGCACAACACATTCCGATCATTTCAAAGAAGCCGCCCCCCGATTGCCGCAAGTATTTCGAAATTAATTTCCAACAATCCGAGCACTCAGACTCGGACGACAGACGAAACTTTGCCGAACTGTCGAGATTCAAGTTCCAAGAAATTCCAATACGCAATTTACTGCCGCACAAAAACTAAGTATATCGAAGTTGGAGGCGGCACGATGAAGAGTGTATTGTGAGAATGTCATATTTTAATTAAATTTTCGTCTTGCAAGTTTTCGGTTTTTTGCTTTTTATAACGATGCACGGAAAATATATTCGCAACCCACTTCATAACATCAATATTTGCACGGCGGCGGCGGCACACGTTACGAACCGGCCAATTGGGGGCTTGGATTAGATGCATGAGCACGAAGTTGATGCACTAGAGTGCACGTCGAGATGAAATGTATATTTGCGTACGATCAACTCAAACTCAACCGGCAGCGAGTTTTTAAAAGTTCCTTCACCTTATATCCACATTAGCATCAACTTCAACCACTTGACACGACTTTGGAGTGAATTATAAATTCAGACACTTGTTATCACACAAAGAATCTCATCGCACAAGAAAGTAATGTAGAAGAAATAAATCACATTGGCAAGCAGGAAAATTGATCACACGGAAGCTATTAATCAGTCATACGTATCGCCGTCAATTAGCGCCATTCATAGCGCGCGTCTGTGTCACCGACGTGTTTGCGCCGTGCGCGAAGATTACAAAGCGCTTTCGGGGTGGTAGCGAGATGATGATGAAACCTCATTAATGCATTTCGCGCCCGGCGCCCGGACGCAAGGACGTCGTAAACGGAATGCCATTACCGAGTTGGTTGTAATTAGGCGAATGCGCGCCACGCCGACCCTCGGCATTATGCACTCCGTCAAAGCGGCGGGCTGTACGCTGCATTATCCATTTAGTCAAGGTGCTGCCAGTCTATAATCGACGCTCGATGCTCGATATCATTGATAGCTTCTCTGCCCTCGGGTGCAGACACAGAGAGTAGTATGCGGTGACATGCCAACAAGGGCATTGATTTCGGTCAAACTCATCCAAAAACTATATTTTACTCACACAGAAATTAATTTTTTACTAATCGGCAAGTTTTTCATATTCCCAGCATTATTAATGCTGTTTTAATGAGAACATGTCTACATAATCCTTACTATTGAATTCATACCGAAAGCTTAGTGTAATCGTGCGTTACACATAGTATTAAATGCAGTAAACCACTCGTTAAAAAGGCTCTAGCGTCCAAAATAACGAGTGCACTTTTGAAGTAAATCACCCTCTTCCCCTCGCCTCCCTGTTGCTTGGGACTCTCCTAATTACGAAAATTCAAGTCTGCGGCGACCAAAGTTGCGCGAGTCGCCAAAGCGGCGGCGGTTTTGACCATCATCATAATTCGCAATGCTAATTAGAGAGGTAGCAAGGGTCGTTCAGGGCGGGACAAACGAAAAGCCACCGAAAAGGACAAGAGACAACTCTCCGCAAACTATGCAAGCAGCACAATCCAACGGTCCAACGCACGCCCGCCAGCATCTTCAACGGCTCCACAACCCTTTTACGAGCACACACCACAAGCGTCCACCACGCAAAAAGGTCCCGACCGGAAATTATTGTTATTGTAATGTCCACACGCGGCGCGCACACCAAGTGCGGCTGCAATTAAGTTACAACAACTCTATCGGGGGCCCTGTTGAGCCCGCCAGCGGTTAATATACTGCGAAAAACATATTCGAGCGAAACAATGGCACATGAATTGGACGTGGGGCCGAATGGAAATTCCGAAACGAGATATTATCAGCGCGCCGTTGCGCCGATAAGCCAGCGATGCACGCGCAAAATGCCCAAAATACACATACAGCGCGACCACGAAAGCACCCCCAATGGATGATTGCTAACTTATGCATAATTTATGAACAGCCTTAATAACTGCGCTGTGCGCTCCGAATCAACAGCGGCGCGAGGGCGTTTAGATGTGTTGGGTGCAAATTGTAGATTCTCCGATCCGATGAGATGAGAAATTGCAGATGAAAAATTTGATGAATTTTGCAAACTCAATTATTCCACTCATCCTCACTTACTATATTGTTGCCTACGTCTTTGTTTAAGTTCCAGCTGTGAAATTGATATTACTACTACTTGATTATCGATTACAAATTGACTGATGAACATGTGAATATGCCTGCTCCCTGATAAAAAATGTCCTCGATATTTAGTATTTTACTATACGCAACAACCATCATGATTGATGCATTATTAATTACGCGCCTCGCTTGAGTGAGAGCTTATTGTAATAGGAAATTATTGTCGGTGCTGGCAACATTTCGCACAGGCCCTATATCAAACTGTCATCGTTGTGTCGGTGAGTGTCAATGTGTTGAGAGTGTATATATATATATATATATGCGTATCGGATATCGCGTATCGCGCGTATCTGGTATCGATTTTTCAAAATTTGCGGACCAACCTTTCTCGGAAGCACACCACCCCCGAGCAGCGCGCGGCGTCAAGCGATGATGATGAATGATAAAAAAATTTGCGAAACGCAAACGCAATGTGAAATGTGACAGTTTTCATACAGATACACTCTCTCCTTCGAATTTAATTTATGATAGCGTTAAATTTGCGGATGCGGCCCATTTTTCGGCGGAGGCGGAACAAAAAATAAAAGCATATCGACATGGCTTTCGTTTTTATTATGTTTTCATTTGTATTGTGCTCGGCGGCGGAAGAGAAAGCGAATCCGACGTCCCTCGGTGTGTGCGCGTTTTTATGGCTTTAAATTCTCGGGATAATCTTCGTGTTTGTATCGTTTTTCTCGTCCTGATCCGCTCCCTGGACGCGACAAATTTAATCGCTTCGATGTTTCTCAGTATTAAAGAAATATACGGCTGTTGAAATGTAATCGTAATATTAGCAAAATATTTATTTTTGAATAATTCATATTCAACACAATGAAAGTGCTAATCACCATTAGCAGCGCATTGTGCGTCCGCCTGTCAGCGAAAGTTTTAAGCAGGTGTTGTGGAGCGACACATCAATGCCTGAAAATGCTTAATAGCGGTAAAGTAGGCTTATTAAAATTCAGTTTATCGCGCGCAAAACGGCGCGATTCATTATCCCCTCAGAGCGCGTGCGGCCCCATAACACACAAATTAAACTATCTAACTATATTTGCCGCTCCGAGGCATCTGGCAGAAGAGTTAACCAACGAATCTCTTCCGAAAACGACTCCCCACGTTGTTTTGTTTCCAAAGTCGGATTATGCTATACAACACACACAAGCCTCCCTCGCGTCAGCAGCCAGCTTACAATTCAACCCGGCCCCGAAAAGTTTATGTTAATCGTCAGAGAATTCACATTTGTGCACCCAAATGGAAAATAATGTATGCTAAAACACATCACCGGGTTGATTTGCGCATGCGTAGCACATTGATTCAATTTACGCACGTTGCAAATGATTTATTAGGCATTATCTCAATTCTTCTTTGCGTTATTTTTTCGCCGCTCTCAATGGGTGAATAAGTGCGCAGCGCACGCAGACTATCCAAGCAAATTAATCAGGCATTATTTACATTTGCGCGAGGATAGTGAAGTGTATTATTCTTTACGGATCCTCTTACGTAGGCCTAAACTAAGCCGACGTAATAAAACGCCCACTTCACTTTGTTGGCCGCGCCGCCGATCGATCAAAGTCGCAGCCGTTTCCTATCGCCGGGGTCGAAACTAGCGCGCATATGTATAGCTATACCGACGCCGCTTCAATCTATTTAGTTGATTGACAACCCCACGAGGAAGATTTTATTTCATTGCGAAATTTTCGGGCGAACACAAAACGCATCCGGCCTCATGACGTGTAATTTACATCCGAATTGCCACACATCAATCGTGGTAAGCGTAAAAATCATTCAAATTATTTTAAACTATTTAAAAATGATAATCTTCTTAAAATTTTAAT